CCGATATGTAACTGTGTAAATAGTTACTCCATTCCGCCCGGCCAGACGCAATTTTGAAAAGTCAGCTTAGCAGCGAGTACAAAGCAGTGTACTGCCCCAGATTTAACAAAATCGCTAATGTGAAAACACGTTTTTTCAGGTATTCACATAATAAATTATTTGCGCAAATGAGCACGGTTCCAGTGCCTGAGAACAAGGTCACGCCCTTGTGTGGCAACTGTCCCTGGTGTGCATTAGTTCCGGGGAGATCCAATGCTTAGCATACCCAATTTTCCAGTGGCGGGTCCAGGGTAGGGGTGCGGAAGGCCCGAGGCCCCCCGTTATTTTTGAAACCAAACTGAGGCCCGAGGGGCCTTTTGGAGATCCCCCCACCTTATCTAAGGGTCTGGATGAAAGCCCCCTCCCTTCCCCCTTATCTCAAGGTCTGGATCCGGCACTGTTTCCTACTACCCTAACGTTTAAAATTGGCCTCTGAACAGGTAAAATAGAACAAATATGCACACAGTTACATATCGGGTACCCAACCAAGTTGTGACGACAAAATATTTTGGGCCGGTGCCCATGCACCAGTGCCTGGGCACCAAGTGTGAAAATAGCCTTGACGAATAACATGGAATGTTACTAGCGGTTCTTTGCAAGAAGATACTCGATTCGGTGACTTTTTTGTCGCTCTGTTGAAGTTTTCCTCTTGCTTCTATTTCCAAACAGCACGCCGCATTGTTAATAGACCTCTTTGGCTGATATGTTTTGTTTTCCCGATGAAGCTCCGGTGGAATTTCACCCTTTGTTTTTTTCATCATTATGCTTACATATGCACGTGAATGAGGGAAAATTTGAAAGAAACAGTCCTCCAGAGTATTATCATATGACCTGCATTGGGAAAACAAAACATACAAGCTAAAAAGGTGTATTAGCCTTTGTACCAGGGCCCGGTTCCTGAAAGGTCGATTAGCGTTAATCCAGGAATGAAATTTTGTTCCGTTTTTGTACTTAACATTCACATGCATTGCTTAGGGTACATTTTGTGTTATCATTACTGTATCTCGTAGTAACAGGTCAACACTATTTTGTAACCTCGAGTTGTATGTTCTTAGACTAGAAAACCGTGCTTGAAATTTGGCTTAATCCTGGGTTAAACGTAACGAACTTTCGAGGAACCGGGCCCAGGAATATAATTTTTCATTTCAAATTACCGAATCGTTTTAGATGAATCATATTAAATCAAGGCATGTTTTGTGGAAAAAATTATTACATCACTGATTATATTCGAAGCACCCTTAAGTGGACATCTTTGGGGGGCAGAAAACTTGTCCGCAGCTAAAGGTGGCGGCTTATGGGAATGCTCTGTGTAAACAGAGGGTTCAACTATGTTTTGTCAAGGCCACGCACTATACGAAGAACTATTGGCTTCCGAGTGTTCGTTAAGGGAGCTTCGACTGTAACAGTAATAAGGTACCTGCCACGGTATCTAACTGAACCAAACCCATGTTGGCTTCAGGAATAGCTGCCAAGCGACCAAACGTCTGGAAAAGAAACAACTTTGTTAAAGCAAAAAAAATGAGGATCAAAACAAACTCATCTAATAGTCCTCACTTTTATTCCCCAAAGGCCCTTGGACAAGAAGTCCCCCAAGCACATGAGCGTCGCTTTCGGGCGAAAAACAGCACTCGTCCCAGGAATATGAAAAGGACTATTTTGTTCGACAGTATCACCAGGTATAAAAGAATATGTCATTTGCTAGTTGCCTTAAGCCTCTTGTTGAAAACGACACTTGGTGCGAACTATTTGATATGAAAATATCTTTCTATTCTCCTGACGATAAAACTCGATTTCTCATGAAAATTTTTTTTCACTTGACCTCAATATACAAATGAAGGTTTAAGAAATTCGGAGACTGCCAATTAGTCTCTCAAATAAACTGTGGTGTGCAGGTAAAGCCAAAGGGACTGAAACATAAAAATTTGGTTCTATCAAACGTCAGAGTCACTCCTGATGAAACGCTAGTGCTTGAAACATCAAATCTCTCTGTAAACCTTACTCACGCTTTATGGCGCAGAGACACGAAAAAGAAATTTATTTTCGCTGTTGCTACACTTTAATAAAGACTGCTGCCAAAATCGTACGTTTTTCGTTTTCCCTTTGATACCCGCCTAAGAGGTCGCCCTCAGATATAACTTATTTTTCAAATGGCTGACTGCAGTTTTTTTTTCTCAAATTCATCAATAACTAGTCAAAAATAAGAGCCAAAAATTACCTGATGGCCAACTTCTATACGATCGCCAAGCCCTAATAAAGGAAGAAGGAGTAACATGTCTCGTTAGAAAACGTTCAGTCATGTTTTATTACTGTGAGCTTAATGAGAAACTCTGGTAACCTTTTAATGCAAAAATGTTGGTAAACGAGTGACTGTATAACGTGACTTCGAAATCGTCCATCCGCTTCAGTCATGTTAGGCAAAACATCAGGCACAAATTTTATAAAACTACTTTTTTATATTGCTCTCCTTCTCTTGGCCATGATATTGATTTTGTCACTCAGTTTTGTCCTTTTTGATCATTCAAAACTTTTCAAGTTTCAGAGATCTGGCCACAGAACATACTGGCTTATAGTCGTGTTTTTTCCGTTTAGCTTTAAAGGTCACACAGACAAACAAAACAAGCTACTCTGTTGAAACAAGAATACGAAGCTATTGTTTTGTTACCGCTGTTGTTATTGTTAGAGTACTTTTTCCCTTTCATCAGCTCATGGTCTTGGAGTTTATTATTATTATTGTTATTATTATTATTATTATTATTATTATCATTATTTGTTTCTTTTTTCAGGGTTATTTATATCGATTGCGATGATTAAAAGTTTACTTTTCCTTTAAAATAGTTAGTATTACAAGGTAGCTCCGCTTGTAGGCTTAGCTTAATTCTTTTATTAGTGCGATGACAAATAATAATTTACCAGGTTTTCTCCCAACAGATTTAGGTCGATTCCTTCTTCTGTCTACTGATTGCCTGGTTCTCACACCCAGTGCAGATGCAGCTCTTGCCGTTCTGTGCTTAGCAGCACCAGCGGTTTCATACCTTAAAACATATTGAAATGTGTAAGGACTCCACTGTAGTAAATGGAGTGAATCCGTAGTAATCGAAATGATGTGAAGTCATGAGATCATTGATATGACTATGACCATCCAGAAACAGGGTAATTCGACTATCTGTAGGTGTCAGCTTGCCCATCTCTTTGGTCAGGTTGACTCGTTCGCATCAGAGAGCTTATCGAAAATCGCTGTTTGAAGCTAGTAGAGCCGTTTGCTGGCCACCGTCTGGCCAAAAATACTACTGAGCGTTACTGCTTTCGAAAATCGGGCAAGCAGAGAAGGCAAAATTTTGAGAACTATTTTTCGCTTTTTCTTCGCCCTGCTACTAACGATTTTCTTTCCAGTTACCACAAGAATCGTGAAATTAATTGAAAGGACTATAGGAGATAGTGTAAAAGAAGTTAAGCTGGAATTTTCCTGTCGAAGAAACATGATTTCCCTGGCCTGTTTCACTGAATAGCACCCAAATGGATATGGTTTGAAAGACCTCTCTCCCCTGCAGAAGTTCGGTGTCAAAGTTATCTATGAGCATTTAAATTGACGGCATAACAAGTGGGACAAGGGGTGTGGTCCCACATGGGCGATAATAGGTACCTGACGTTTGAACGTGTTAACTTATACAGTTGCTACTATACTGATCAAGATAGAGTCGGGACACAGCCGTTTTTGGTTTACAAACCTCTGAAGTTTTGACCAAACTGATCCTACGCAAGATTGAGGTCTCTCCTGAGATGACACCTTCACTAACCGTTTAGACTGTAACAAATAAACAAGATTTTGTATTTATAAGTTTGTAAGTTATATCTTGATAAGTTATGCATTAATTCCACAGTTCACTGGGTACTGAACCAATAACAGTTGTGTTTTGGGAAATTAGAGTTGCAACTTACTGTTATAACATAGCTCGGTTGGACACCATCGTTTGGCGGATCGCCCTTTAAAACTTCATCATCCTCTTTACTCCTTTTCCCTGCGAACATGAATGAAAATAGTTGTTAGTAGTACTAAGAAATTAGCTATCACTAAAAACGACAATTAACTAAAACTCCAGATGAAAGAAAATAGCACAACACTGCTACATTTTCACCAAGCCCTCTAAAGTAAACAAGATGAGAAAGCCTTAACCATGGAGGCTATCATCACCTCATACTACTAGCTTACTGACCTGATCCTGGATGATTAGCAGCTTTTACACATTCTAGAAGATATTCAGCAGTTTCTTGTTTAACCTTGTTAATTGCTCCCTGTTGCAGATAAAATGCAGGATTTAAAACAGCGTTCATTTGTATCAAATTAAAATTCATGGAAATTAATCAATTTAACAAATAAAGTATCCTTTATCAGGAGTATATAAGTACATTTCCAAAGAAACTGGAAGTACAACAAGAGCTCGGTTCTTTAGGCAAATATCATAGTTTTGTCGAAGAGTGTGAGTGAGGGAGTTCAAGCAGACAAGACGGCGATAGCAACGAGAACATTAAAGGAATGTATTTTATGAGTAAACAACGACTCTGCACGTGCATCACACCTCTCACTACATTACTTTGCAGACTACACGAAATTACCTTACGCAACGTGTTGGGAGGATGTCAACGCAAGACGACGGATTTTTTTGCACTTAGATACGGTCCTTAAGAATTCTACTCCTGGAAAATGGGCCAACGTTATTTAGACAAATTGAATTGAGTTTTACCTTACTCCTAAATTCTTACCCCCTTAGACTGGATTTTCCAACTTAATGCCTTGATCTTCTCAGCAATTGAACAATCTTTAGTAGCCGTGATGATGAGATCCGTCACACCTACGGGTGAAAAAACATTTGGAACTATGTTATTGGCAACAACAGCAGAAAAAGGTCAAAAATATGTTGAAAATTACGTCCAAAATCAGTCTACCCATTCTTTACACTTAACAGCAAAACCTTTATTATTTTAAAATTTGAACTAAGCTTGCAGTCAACTTAAGTCAGTAAGCAGCTTCTATGAAGGAAGCAATTTTACACACCTTTTAAACACGTTAAAACTTTGATGTGGGGTATTTAGCTATTAACGGTAGACACTTGATCGAACTTAACAAGAAAACACTTCTATGATGCGAAGCACAATAAAAATAACTATCCTTGAGGGAAGTTCTCGAGATTCTCAAAAAAGTTGGAACTAAATTCTGATTTACTTACCAGGATCTTTTCCGATGAAGTCGAAGAAAATAGGCACAATACACAGAAGTTGAACCACTTCTGATGCCAACAGACATCTATAGCCAGCTTTCCTGTTTTAATAATAACAACGAGATTATAGTTAGGAGAATCTGGTTTAGTTTTTACTTTTAGTCTCCTCAATTGTGCACGTCGCTTTATCATTTATCATCTCAAACAATTTTTTCTTTGTCTTTCCTTTGACTGCCATCTCGTTCTGCCCTGAGTTTAACCACAAGTTCAGAAAAAAATTTCCTTCTAATGAAGACCAGGCATGCAAGGAAAATTTCGAATTTTTACATTTTATTTCTAAAGGCAATATTTCTGACTTCACTCATGTATCCCCAAGGCCTCTCAACAATGATGTAATCTTAGCATTTTATGGGCTGGGGCCCGTTTCTCGAAAGTCCCGATAATTAACGGGCCCGGTAAGCTGTCTCCGTTTACATTAAAGATCGAGGTTTCAATAGTTTTGCACCTAACACGACAAAACTGTCAGTTAATGAAACAAAATGCACTAGTTTGCTAGCCAGGACCCGCGTTCTTATTCTTTCTACTTCGATTTGAATATTTGATTTCGGGCCCGTTAAGTTAACGGGACTTTCGAGAAACGGGCCCCTGGACACGACACCTACCGGCGCAGAAGTAAACAAGAGGAAGAGGAAAGCTTTTATTAGTTTTCAATTTCATCCGGATTTTAAGTATAAAATTTTGCTTATAATTTTTCGATATTATTTACTATTATTTGGTTGTAGCCAGTAATATCTCAACACACCTTGAGTCCAGCTTTTTTCTTGTAGCCTGATACCTGTAACATTATTAAACATAGACACATCCTAGTGAGTCGTATTTTAAAAACTGGAAGACATGGGTTAGTAAAAATATTAACTGATCTGTAAAAAAAACTGACACGAAAATTACTCTTGGTTACCAAAAGGGGGAAAGGATACAAAATTGAAGGAATTATAGAATGTTCGATGACTTTCCACTAAATTAGGGGGCTCAAGCAACCTCAACGCAGATGGCAATGAAAACGTCAACAAAAAATGAATTTGCCTTCTTCATAACTAGTCTTTATCGCGTTTACTTTATAGCTTGATTTGTCAAATGAAGGGGTATTTCCCCTGATACTGCTAAATTCTTCAAGACAGCATCCACATTTTAAAAGAGAAAGGAAATTCCTCATCAGTTTTTAGTTGTTTTTTTTTTTCAAGTTCGCGACCGGTATAAATCTTCGCATAAGAGAGTTTCACATCGCAGACGTAGAAAAAAAAGCGTGTTACAGGAAGAAAGCTGTGGTTTTGCTCATAAAACCAATCGCTTTTGACGTTTTCGCTTTCTTTGTCGTCGTGGTCTGACATTTCACTCCCGATGAGGCTGAGGTCAAGTCTATTGTAAAAACAACAAGAACAAAACCTTTACAAAAGAAGCAATTGTTCAGTGTAAGCACTCATTTCGTTTAAATACAGTATACTGAGGCAACTAGACTGCAGCGAAAACAGCGAAAACGTCACTTAAATTCACACAGTTTCAAACTCCATTGCCACTATTTCAATGCTTTCAATTTTTCAAAAATTGGCGAAATGTTCACAAGGACTGTATCCGAGTTGAGGAATCGAAAAAAAAAAAAGTTGTCTTATGTTCAAGTTTTCCACAAAACGTGTGCAACGATACGTACAAAAAAGCGTGATGCACGTGCAGAGTTGATGCTTCTCATGCTGATCTAAAACTATTCGCCGTTTGCTCAATTCAATTCAATTCTTTATTCCACACTATATAAGATATTTACATAAGTGTACAGAGGTAGGAAAATAAAGCAACTGATAAATAATAATTAACTAAAAGACATTAAGTTCGTTTGTGTACAGTGTCCAAAGTAGCAAGAGCTTTCTTGTTGGACACCGTCATGTTGAAATAATCTTCCAAAATTTTGCCCATCCATTGTTTCTAATTTCTCCTGGGAATTACAGTGGTCCCAAGAGAAATTGAAGACAATGCTTATGCAAAATTTTTGGGGCACAAACAAGTTGTATTATGGTCGATGTGCAAATAGCGATTTGCTGTTGTCGGAGTTCTCGCTGAGGTCCTTCTTCTTGTCGCTTAAGCTCCCTAACCGTAAGGTTTTCTTCGTTTAATTCTCTGTTTATAATTGTGTGTATGCCATTTACTCTTTTTCAAGAATGCCATAAAGTAACAACTGGAAATTCTTACTTGGAAATGCTGTCTCCACTGGCCAGACGAACAAGGTCAGCCACAAGATCATAAAGACAAAGGTACAGTCTGTTGTACAAGCCACCGTCCTGACAAACAAAGTTTTAATTTAACTTCTAAAAGATAAATATGAGGTGATCTTTTGGGCGTACAGCTTACAGAAAAGGAGCGAAAGGAGGAATTTTAATCTTAAAAATGGCTGCAAGGAGTTCATAGGCTGTTAGACTAGACTGCTAACTGTAGCTCCTAAGGTGATGTTTACACGGGACGATTCGCAACGACGATTTTTAACGCAACACAACGTCGCAATATTGGAACAATGTTGTAACTATTCGAAACAATGTCTTAGCAATGTTGCAACGCTGTGTTACGCTAAAAGGGAGTCGTTGCGAATCATCACGTGTAACATCGCCTTTATTATCAAAATTAAGACAGTGAAAGTTGCCACCAAATTGAGTGAAACGCAAACATAACTGCTCAAACCATTTAAAAAAGTATAAATAACACTGTAAATACAAAAGAAGACAAGAGAAGATTAAAGCGGATTGCAATTGCGGTTTTGGAAAACTTGACCAGCCTAGTCCGGTAACCGTTTTTCAAAAGCAGAGTAACTCTTCTAGCCGGTAGACTGCGAGCAGTCTCTTATTTTTCTTCGCAAAGCTACTGCACGCGAAACCTAAGCACGCGAGCGGCGAGGCCGCTTGTCGCAAGAAACGAGGGCGTTCTAACTAATAACATTGTGGTTTGCAATCGCGCTGCATGAGGTAAGAACTGGAAGGATTTTAAGAGAAAAGGCGGACTGGAAGCAGTCTATCTAGCCGGGCAAACTTTTATCCATGATATAAACCAGCCAAGACAAGTCAATAAGGGCATGCGAAAGTGCTGTTAGCCCAGGCAGGGGATCAACTTTTTGATCTGATTTCAACTTTTTTATCTCACTTAAACGCCCACTTTAATGAGTTGACCGAGCTGGGAGGTGGTCCTTTCTACATGTACCTGGGAGAGGTTTTCGCCATACAAAAGGGGCCTACATGTGAGTGTCACCATCTGAACAGAAAATAATCAATGGCAATAGTGTTCTTACAATATGCTGATCACGTTCTATCTTTACTGCGCCAAGAAGTAAAGACAATACTCGACATCTGATGTCCCGTGGCAGCATAAACAGATCCATTGTATCAACATTTCTATAAAATAATAACCTTATTAAACACCTTCAACATTACCATCTATCCAGCACAAAGCACCTCTCCAAAAACCGTTGTCAACGTTACTTTATAATTTCAAGGAATTCAAATTCCTCACTTAAAAAACCTGTCTATAACCTAAAAAAAAAATCTTCCCCACTTAACAAAAAACAGTATCCAACAATAATTGTTTGTAAGGTGAATAGAAAAAATAAAATTTTCCACAAAACATCTTTTTCTCATAGTATTAATCACAGATTATAGGGAAGCAATTATCAGGGGCAAAAGGTATAATGAAAGAGCCAAAACACAGTTCTAAATCCAATCTTCTCAGAAACATTTACAATTACCAGGCTTTTTCTTGGCATTGAATATTCATGAGTAAGAAGTAAAGATACACTTTACCGCAAACAGTTCCTTATTCTACATCTTAGACATTAAAAATCAGTCACTCTTCACACCTTATTTTTCTCAATCTAGCAATATTGAGAGTTTGTTGAACCAACAGTAGAGGAATGGCAAATTCCAAAGAGGCCTAAAAATTAATCAAATTAAAGATAGCATTACCGAAAAAAAGTATAACGGATTGAGTGTTGTTATAAATAATAGACTAATTATCTAAATAAAACTAACAATGTTAACTAGCTGGAGAAGCTAAGTGCTTTTACCACAGCAAAAATTATTAAACAGTATTTGTGTAGGTAATAGCATTATTTGTAGTGATATTTGGCATAAATACCACGAGTGATATTTTAAAATTGTTATACGTAATTTCACGAGCCGTCAGGCGAGTGAAATTGGAGACAATTTAGAAATATCACGAGTGGTATTCATGCCAAATATCACGTACAAATCATGCTATTATTTGTTTAATGTACTACCCGCAAAAGGTTTGTAATTTTCACATGTACTTATTTCAAATTAAGCTGAAATGCAACTGCTCTAAGCCAATCAAATTGCAAAAATTTCTCATGTAGTAGTATAACCTTTGGAATTCACTGTTTGTTATGCTTTACAAGGTGGTTCAATCTTTTGGCTCTGTGGGTAAAATCCTAAAGTGTGACCATTCAAATCAAAGCCACTGAGCAGTACTTTCCAATGGTACTGTTTGTTGTGCTGTACAAGGTGATTCAAACTTTTGGCTCTGTGGATAAAATCCTAAATTGTGACCATTCGAATGAAAGCTACAGAACACTACTTTCCCAACGTACTTTTTCCTATGTTGTACAAGGTGGTTATATCTTTTGAGTGTATGGATGTAACCCTAAAATGTGACCTTTTATTATGAACTTCCATGATACTAGTAAGCATGGCAGTGCCTAA